CTCGCAGCATAAATTTCCTCAGTCACTTTACATATATTGTGTTTCAGGCCGTGGCTTGTTTTCGTCATTCTTTTACGGACCCAGTCGTTCACATAGTCCTAGAAGAATTAATTTCAAATCATTGGTCATTGACAAATCAGGTTTTAGGCAGCGACTCGATGTCGGCGTCACGTATCAAGGTCAGCCGTGCTAAAAACACTACTTCAAGCGAAGTGGCTATTTCCCGCGCTGATTGGCAAGTTGCCCTTGTTGTAACTGGAACTTGTTTGTATCCGATGTCCATCTAATTTCGGAGCACCAAAAGATCTGCGACATGTCACGGTAGAGCTTACCATAGAATATTGCTACTGCTCCATCATCGTTTTCGAAGAAAAAAAGATCAAATAATACCTCCGCTTGACAAGCTGCACCAGACAATGATTTTTTGTGAGTGAAGATGTTGTTCAACACTGACAATTGGCTTCCCTAAATGTGACAATTTTGCTTATTCACGCAGCTATCGAGCTAACAACGAGCTTTATTACAGAAAATAACGTGGTTAAATAAGTCGCTAGCACGTACATCAAGCATCAGCGGACAAACGACAAACTTTGAATAGTTGAGTCTACCTTGTAGAGGTAAAGATGCAACTTTTCCTTTAAAATAAGTCACAAAGTGCTTATCAGTAGACCAGATTGCTGGGCATGACCTCGTGCTAAGGTTTTGGATTTGCTTCTACATTGTTACTGATTGCGACGACACACTGGGCTCCTTTTTCGATCCGTGACATCATTTTAACCTCATTTGGCGTACAAGCAACGAGGGATCGATGCTTTCGCTGTGTCACCGCAATCAATCCTAATTCGATGAGAGGTTTTCATAAGGAACAAGCGTTGTTCCACAACTGAAACGTCTTATTGTCACAAATGTGCTACTACAAGCGCCACTCTGTTTATCACTCGATAGTCTGCTAACCTGCTAGCTATATATACAGGGTGAGGTATTCAAATCCGGACATGCTTTGTCTGGCAGTTTGTCGTAGCATACAGGTTCATTCGCTTTTTTCGTATTAGAAAAAAGTTAGCTGTTCCTAAAACAGAACAACAAACTCATAATCGACTTCGAGCGAAGATAATCGGTGATCGGGGGACGAACCCTGCCTGAGATAGACGATTTACGTTATTGCCATACGTCCTCTGAAACATCTAAACAGAACTTCCATGGAGTAAATCGGGGGGTGCCCAATAGGGCTTAAGTTTGACAGGCTCGAACATTCATCAGAAGAGTTAAGAAGCCATTTTTGATTTATCCCGGCTTTTGATATAGAAATTCACGGACGTTTTAGACATCAGAATACGAATAACCGCATGGGTCGTTCAGATAAGCTCTAACGATTAGTCTTTCAAGAGCGTTTGCATCTTTTGAACCTTTGCTTCATTCTGTGTATACTGCTCGGGTCTACACATTACTTCTATGAAGGTAGACTGTTCAAGATGGCGGCTCATCGCAGACGTAAAGATATGCTATCGTTTCGGGCTATTACCTTATTTAAAGTCTACATTTACTATACGAAAAAGAAAGAGCTTTTAGGTAAAAGCATTTTCAATGCGCCTCGGGGTGCCAGTGATTAGAGTTTAGTCGCGGGCAGAGACATGCGTTCGATCCATAGCAAATGTTCAATGGAGTGTGGACTAATATCAGTTGGGTTCTTTTTGCAGTTAGTGCTTTGCCGCTTACTTTCCTACTCGTAAGCAAGAGCAAAAAAGACTCCTGAAAATAAGTATTAGGCGCGGAGGCTAAACTAATGTGGCCTATTTTTCTTTTGGAGTATATGCCGATTTTACAGAAATCAGGAGCTACTAGCGCTAGAATTTCACTGTCTATATGAACGATCGTTTTTATACTGCGCACGTTAATATACTATGTTGCTGACCAAAATGTTCGTGGAGTAGAGTGGCACTCCTCGCAAAAGGGGCTATGGGCTATGGGGTAGGGGGGAGAAGTATGACCAGGTGTGGAGATGTACACGAAAGTGCATGTAAAAGAAGCTGCTGTAAATACCATAAAACAATAGATCTGGCTAGTAACGTATTTTTTTGCAAAAAGGCTCAATAAGGAGCTTCATAATAATAATAATCTCAATGAATAAACAGATAAAACACAGCTATATAGTAAACTGGTTTTACACATTTATAAACAAAAATACGGGAATTGAAGACTGTAGCCCTTTGAAAACTTAAACTAATGCAAAAAATGTCTAAAGATAAGAAAAAATGATTTGTATATTTTTTGCATGTAGCATTCGATTTGGATTTTTTCAAGTTAAGTAAATTATAAATTGATAACCTGAAAAAAAAAAACAGGAAAGAGTTGATGAGAAAGTTTTCTGGCTCACCATAAATCAGGCAAACAAAAATAAGTAACTGCCCAACTCTTTGACACATAGCCTAGTTTATGTCCATGGTACGCGTTCACCTTTGCGTTTTTTTCGCTTCTGCATGCGATGCTCACACATACTGTATTCTGTCATTATGTTACATAACATCGTGTGTCCTACCAACTTGAGGGATCAGCGGCACCTACAGAAGGCGGCATTTTCAATGATCAATTGGCAAGATGCAGCGAAAATAAGGATTCGATGAGGAAGGAGGCCACCGAAACGATTTGCGGATAGTTTAGAAATAAGTGCTCCGATATGTCGAAATACGTTTGCAAATGGAGCGATCAAAACAAACGTATCCTAGCTTGCTATGTGACGTAAGGTTTACTACCACAGTCTGATTCCTGTTGGCATAAATCGGCACGGTCCAAGTCAAACAAGTGCAACTGAGGGATCAGTAAACTGGTAAATAACTGACCAGTAAACACTGATCTTGTTAATAAGATTACAGCTCATTGAACTGGTTACTTTTTCATGCCGTAGCTAAACTGAATACGAAAATAGTTACATAACGATAAGGAACAGATACTGAAGTAATTCTTTAGCAGCTCGCGTAGAGACCTTTCCTTGTTGGACCATTTTTTTACTTTCAAGGACCAAAAACATGTCATACTTTATTCAAACCATAACTTGACTTTGTATACTAATCAACGATTTTTTTTCCGAGTACGATAAGTCAGATTTTTTCGGGAGTCAATACTGAATATTAAAAAGGAAAACTCGATGTTAAGGGTTGCAAAGATAATATTTTTTACGATATATGTTACACCAGTTAATACAATGATACGCCTACACGAGCCAATTCGAGATGTGCATTACTCATAGAACTAAATGTACTTTTGTTATCATCTAAAACAAACATCTTTCATGCCATCCAATTTAAATGTACATGGACGACGTAATAAACTTTCGCGTTACAATAATTGAAAGGGTTCTGTGCAGAGCCAGAACAGTAACTGATCCGAAATCCTCTAATTAATTTAGTTACTGGGCCAAAAGTCTACGGGGCATAGCCGTATCACTGCACGGCTCTCGTTATATAGTATATCCATCAACCATATATATATGATTGGGTTGGTTACGTGTATTGCCAATGGCTCTTTACAAAATGGAAAGCCGTCTCTCAAATAGTTGATGGACGGAATAGGCTATGCATGTTACACGCGTTTAAGTCATGTTTGCGTTGCCATAGCGCTCAACTACGAAAACTTTTAATTCGGAGAAAGGCGAGAACGTCGGAACATGAAAACACAATTGGCATGCTCTTTACTCTGATCTGCTGTCACATATGTGTAGCTACATTAAATTTCCGAGCTACGACGAACGATCTGCGACGAAGAAACGAACGATCGTTCTATTTCCTTGCGGCTTCGCAAGGAAATAGAACGATGTCGAGCTTTGCCATTTATTTTATTGTTGCCATAGAAGCCTCTTGACATCGGGCAGCAACTATCTGGTTTTATTGTAGATCGTTTCACGTTAAGTGTTCTCCAGCGGCCTCTACACGCCTGTCGGTATGCAGTAGATGCCGGTCATACCAATACCTTCTTCCCTTGCGGGGATTCATTTAAAGCTTCGACTTAGACGTTCAAGGACTCCGAAGCAAATATTAATGTCGGAGTCTTGAGCCGGATATCATGGAACTCATCAAACGGGGCTCAAATTAAGCAGCGGCATTAGCAGCGTCTCAGATAAAGTTATGCCAATTCGGGCGGCATATTTCATTTCTTCGTCGCAGATCGCTCGCCATAGCTCGGAAATTTAATGGAGTTATACAGCTGTGACTTTCAATGGTTTTACAATTAGATGTCCAATCTATATAGGCACGCTGATCATTTCTGGCGGATTGTCCTCAAAGTGTTTTACGACGCACTGAAAGAAAACAGGGCGCTGTACCGCGTATAGATACCCCAACTGCTGGCAAGCACTATAGCCCCTCCTCAAGCATGGTGGGATATTGTCTAACATAAATACAGCTCTACATGAATCATTCGGGAAGCTTCTGTCTTTTGCTTGAGTATTTAATTTTTGTTGAAAAGTCTATCATAAAAATATATTAAAGCAAAGTTTATTTTCTCCAGTTCCATTACCGCTTTTGGCTAATTGTGGTTGTGATGCTTGTAGCGCATCATTATTCATAACAATACCGACTCAATCGCTTTTTTCTGTTCAGCATCTACGCAGGTAGGCATGGCGTTCAACTGTGTAGATACATTAGAACGAAATCAAAATAGTAGTTACGCAACAAAAAGACATAGATTAGATTCAAGTGCACAAATTTACAATCAGCCATACACATGGTCTTTCACAAAGATCATAGAGACACACACATACACACGCACACACACACACACACACACACACACACACACACACACACACACACACACACACACACACACACACACACACACACACACACACACACACACACACACACACAAACACACACACACACACATATACCCATACGCGCGCACACACACACACGCATGTACACATAGGGAGACAGGGCGTAGGTCATATATTTATGAATTTATGACGCTTCATGACAGTACGGACATTCTTTCAGGGTCTGGTCTGTCAGAACAGGCCCTTTGTCCTGCCCAGCCCATTCTTGCGAGAGAAGCAGGCTGACGGTTGGGAAGCCGGTCGGATGGATATTGGCCGTCAAAGACTCGTGTGAGTTATAACTGCTACGTGAGCTGCATCTGAGGCTCCTTATAAATATCCTTCCACATTTATCCCGGGACCGCAATTTCCATGCTCACATAGTTTACCGTTCCACAATTCGATGGAGCGAAGCGGACCAGAACTTTACAGGATGGCAGCTGGCGACGACCTCGGGGGAGACTGTTGTCCTTTAGTCCTGTCGTCTCGGATCACGGCCAACTACAAACGTTTGACACTATAGACGAACAGAGCACAGTTCTCGACTAGAATCAAAACAGCGAAAACACGAACAGCAGGTAACGGAGCTAAACGGGCGCTATAGATTGATGATAATTATCTTTCACTAGCTAACCAATCACTTCTACTCTACTGGTCGAGCATGCCAAGTGTAGTCCATAAGCACGGGATTAGAATTAGCCCAAGCGCACGAAACATAGAACATTGCAATAGATAACATTGCTTAAACAGAACAGATAATAATAGTTTGGCGATGCGGTCCCGCAGTTTGCAAATGCTACGAAATATACCTGGTTAGGTTTGAGATGTCAAGGTCTCTAATCTGGTTCGCTTTACAAATCTTGCATTGTTAGCTCCAATGGCACGCAACGACTACGAAAAGCTCATGGCTCTATAGCATGCGGGTTGATAAAATGAATGACTAAATCTGAAGAATCTGATAAGAGATCGCGATACTTCAGGTATTGCGTTTATTGCGGAAGGCGTTTATACAGATCCCTCTAACAAAAGCCATGCTACAGAGAACTTCTCAATAGTGAGGTACGGCGCCAAAATCATCTGAAAGTCTTACCTTTTTGCTGCAGGTAAGGCTTGGAATCTTTCATTCTCCAAATCCGAATCCCAAACAGAGCTCTAAGATGATAACCCAGCTAAAATTTTCCATAAAGGAGGAAATAAAATGTAAGTGCTTAAAGAGTGAAGTCAATGAACCAAGAACATATCTGTAAATTTGTTAATCAATTAAATGATGTATTAACTTTATATAACTTTGAAATACAACAGTAACTTCAATAGATACCTTTGATAGAATTATAGTAACTAAATAAAATAACATATTTTTAGGTAGTAGGAATTTTCTAACTTTTTGCGCAGCTCCATTTCAAAAACCAGACAGTACGAACCGCGCATGTAGGTCCTTTAAGTACAAATACTTAATGTACATATCTAACCTAAATTGAAGCTTTTACATCGCATGGATCGGCTATCGAGAGTACCGTCTTAGTGGCTGGAAGCACAAGATCTAAATATAACTCATTACTAGATATGGGAAACAAACTATCGTTAGATGTTCCCAGAATAACTCAAAAACATTCCGGCCTCTTCCTTCCAATTGAAGAAACAGCCGTGATACAACAGATTTTCTAATGCTGAATCGTTTCGTTTACTTATTTCTTGCCGCGTTTGACGCTGGCCTGTCCAGAACATACAGACATCAGTATCAAAAATGTGGAAGGTCTATGTGTGCGCAAAATATAGGCCGACAAGCTGTAGCAGTAGAAGAAAATTCGCGGAGGCTACCGTTACGGTTCAGATGTAGAAGAAGGAAACTGTTCGTGTACGTGCGGTAGGTTTCACGTACCTATAGTAGTAGACACCCTGAAAAAGTAATAATGTATTTAAGATGCGAACGCCACAAAAAATGGCGGGCGTAGTGAGGATCTACACAGGACTAACAACAAAAACGGTGATTGAACGTGTGTGTGTGGGAATGGTAAATTTTGAGAAACATCTTAGTCTTACGATGCAGTCCTCAGTTGAAATTACGATGAAGTTATATCGTTGATACTCATTATCAGAGGCTGTATTGCAAAGATCTAAATCTAATTTATTGCATTTCGACTGAGATTCTCAATACAGTCTATTTACAGTTTATTTATTTATTTATTTATTTTTATAGTATAATATTTTGTTTACCAATAATACTTAATAGTTTAGCAGACTTTTATCGAATCTGTCAGCGGGCTATCTTCACGAAGGTTACGGATACTTCAATAACGACTCGGCTTTCCCTATCTAACATACACAATCCACGTCTCCAATTCAATTCATTTAGATTTAGCACGTTTGTTTAGCCGGAGTCATGGTTCGTGTATAATATGCTTTCGTATGGGGCGATGTTGTTTCACTGCCATAAAAGTCCTTTTTTTTGCCAACCTAATATGTGTACTGTTGCTGTTTGTTTACAGCTAGTGCATCAAGCGAGAATGCATGTTTTTAACTAAGTCCCTCGATGCATTTACTGGCATGAACGAACGTTCACAGAGGCATCTACGTTACCCATGCATGTACTAGGTTACAGTCTTTTTTTTTTTTTTTTCATTTCTAAAATGGGCTTCAACAAAATGTTTCTCAGCAGAGGTACTTTTGCTCTGCGCATATCAGTTAATTAACATTCTAATGGCCATATAACGACAACGATTCGAAAGGCAACGGTACGAGAATTCTTGTGCTTATCTTTGCGTGGAATCGTCCGCTTAGAGGAAATCAAGTAGCAAGCATGCCATACACGGCAACAGATAGATAGCATCCGAATCGCACAGGCCAAATGTATGCAGTTCGCGTAGCACCAATGTATGGTCGGATAGCTGCTCCTGACATAACCTGCTGGGATCCTTCAGTCGCAGTATCCGGCCGAGTGACAGAATTGATATGGTAAAAACGATAATAACGTCTGCTGTTTGTACTAGGCGGGAAAATCGCTTTAGTGATCCCCTTCAAAATAAATCAATTTATTGAGGCAGTGCGTAACGCCCTCCAGCTCATCCTTCTTGATTAATAGATTGATGTACGCATATATAGATCACCGACGGTTCTTGTCAAATTTACAATTTATGTGGGCCATTCTTTCCTGAACCAGTATCACGTATGTACTATAGTGTGATGTCATATAACACACAAATACTTTCCGTCGTAACGCTCCATCTTCATCGTTAAGACGTACAGACCTCTTCCTGTAGAGGCGACAAAAAAGTCAACTGGAAAACATGAAATACGTATGGTTAGAGAAGTTACTTAATTCTTAGTGCAATGGAAATAGAAATTAAATGTACACACATTTTTCACTAACTCACGTGAACATAGATAGATACAATCGTGTGCTTTGCAGATCATTAAAGTTCCCTCAGACCTCATATTTAATGTCGCTGAATAAACAGTGTACTTAGAACCGATGGTCCGCGGACTCGTTTGGAAGTTAGGTGATGATCTAGGGAAAGTACAACAATAAGTAATAAGCACTTCAAAACAAACAAAAAGTTACATTTTTAATATTCATATTTCTGTTTATTGATTCCAGCTGGCTCAGGCCTTGCCCATGGCATCACCCACTCGGTGTGATTGTACACAGAATAGTATTTATGACCACTTATCCGATTCTAAACTAGCGGAAAAAGATCGCTTTTTTCTGAAAGTTACACCTCGGATTAGACGAAACACGGTTTGAGCCACAACTAGTTATCTGTTGACACTGCCTTATGTATTAAACTGCGAATCCTATCTCTAATAAAAGCTTTGGTAGACATTTTATGGCAAAAAATGCCCAAATTTCACGACCAACTAAAACAAATATGAATGCTATACGAGGTAGGCTCTCATACGACGAAAAAGGTAGGCTTACTAAACAATTTATCAAAGACTTTGTGAGGCCCGGTGGATAACTTTTTAGGTCCACACTTTTTCGAAGACTTCATTCAGTAATACTTGTTGGTGTTTACATAATCTGCTGCAGTTCGTCGCAGAATTCACTTCTTCTGTACAGCGTGCTCTTAGCGTCATGGATTGGTTCGAAGCAGATTAGTATATTCACTTTTACTCGTTACATTGGTTAGTGAGCTAGGCTTCATTGTGATACGTGGAAGAAAAAAAACCCATATCTTACAGTACAAGTCCTCAGAGAGTTTACTTGTTAGCGTTTCCTATTTGAACATTGCTGATACAAACTCTGCAATCGACATCGTCGTCTCTGTCGCCTGCGTTGCTGACCCATCCTTCCTTGTCGTGTCTTGTGTCCTTTACCATTTCAACTCTCCCTGTGTGGGTTTGTTCTCGCCTCTCTTTGTCCTTCTTCCAGCTCCAACTGGGGACAGAGCGAAGAGGACAGAACGAACCGGAGCGGTGTCGCCATAGCGATATTCATGGGAGAAACGTGAACTGTGTGTCCCTCGCCATCCGTACAGCTCGCCCCTTCGGTTGACTACTACGATGCGCTTTTGCCCTCTTGTTATGCTTTTGCGTTCGAGAGCCAAGTTATCTCTCATTTTATCTCACTCCTTCGCACTCCCACTAAGTTGCCTGCTTGACGGCGAGATCATCGAGCAGTTTGGTCGGTTCCCCAGCTCCGACGCCCTCTAGATATACCCGGCGGTTCTGCCTCTCAAATTTTTCCTAGCCCTGCCAGGCCTGCCACACTCGCCACATCTCAACATCAAACAACACCTGCCTCTAAAAAGCCTGCTCCACTTCGCATTAGGACGATTCGTTTGCCATTGTGCCTCAATAGCTCCTCTCTGTGCAATAGATTGCCTTTTTTTGCAAAAAGAGAGGTGCAACGAACGGAGGAACCCTACGTCTAAAGAGGTTAGCTGGACAACTGAAAGGAACGAGCGAAACGGGGTCCTGCGACAAGAACGCGGGTGGCAGTCGGTGGGGTCGGAGTACGTCGGCAGACATCACGGCGCCTGTCGCCCAAACCAGAGTGGAGGCACGCAGAAGGACAGACTACGATGCCAGCTACGATGACGTCGACAACGCTTGCTTCATGGTGTTTCACCCACTTGGCCATCAGCTCATCTAGATAACCATAGACGTACTGTCGCAGTAAAGGTCACACCTAGGCTAACCGCACGCACTTTCAGACAACCAACTATTAACAAACCGCCGGCACTGAGGCAACATCAAACGACGATGGTCACCGCCGCTAAACTTCCGCCGCGTTGAGGATCTGTGGTAACGCAGTAATCGAGTATTTGAGGGTATTGCCATACCCGAGTGACTTTCTTTACCATGACAATCATATTAAACGTACGGCCTATTCGATAATTAATAAAAGGACGATGAAACCCTTGAAAGTAAAAGGAAATCTTCATAAGAAAGAAGCTACCCACTTTTTGTGCTTTCCAATAGGTTACCAGTGATAATGTTGCCAGTATTGATTAATTTTGTCTCAGGATAACATCCCCCATACGGTATTTAAATATGAAGTAGTGGTGAATTCCACGACTATGACTCCAGTATACTTACCATTATACAAGATGCAAATACTTCCATAATAACACGATGAAATAAATATGATAAATAGAATTAAATCGTTTTCCCACTGATCGTTTTGCCTAGACGTTTTAAACATCTTAGGCCAAAGGGCTTAGGATTACAATTTAGGCTTAGAGAAAATTAACTTTATGAGCTTTCTCGTTCACTGATATTTAGTGTTAGACGCCGATATTTATATTTTTCGTAATCTTTACCATGTTTTTAAGCAAAAGAAAGCGGAAAAGAATAGTGAATAAGTCAAACAGTAATGTTAGTAACAATTAACGGACCGGTGATGACAGTGATGTGCGCAAGAGATGATTACGCATCGGATCACATTTGCTTTACGGTATCTGTCTGGTTCAGCAAACAGCGCTAGTGCATGGTAAAGCACGAGCCCCGTGCCCGCAGCTGGGAAAATTGCATACGATAGTGGTTGTCTAATGCATATGGGCCCCTCTGTTACCTGATGAAGCACAATCATCACGTTCTAGCAGTCCGCACTTTGCCAAAACGGGAAGCATTAACTGCTTAGAAGATAATTCCTGCTAATGGTTCGGTACTAATATTCACAGAGCATCATGCACTTGGACGGAGGTCTTCGGAAGATGAGCAGTTTCAATGGCAAAACTTCATTAATCGAACAATCCTTAACGAGCGGTGTATCCTCGTGAGACCCAACTTAACGATGGGCAAAACTAAGTAATTCCAACTGTTATACTTTCGAATATTATCCTACACTATTAATTAATCCTTTTTTCGTCAATCGATTTCAGGTGGTGTATTGCTTGATACAGTGGCTCATAGCGGCAAATGCGCTAATTAAAATAGCCTAAAAATCTTTCAGCTTTAAATAATAAAAGCTTTAATAAAAAAAAAAAAACATTTTATTGAACCGCCTGGGAGGTATCTATAAATTAGCTTCTCGTTACTCTAAAATATGACACTCTACTATACATACATACATACACGTAGCGTACATATAGGTGTTTTTGACGAAATTATTTAAAATGATTTAGCTTAGTCCAGTTGTTTTTTGAAAATGAAACCCGAAAAGACTTTACCCTAGTTAATTTAATGGGAATATTAAGCCCTTTCACAAACTGGGGGCTATAATTGACACAGAAATAATTGCTTTTTATGCTTACAGCTAATTGCTATCTTTAGGGCACAAGAGTAATCCTGGCTTATAGTTTTTTATGGCGTGCTGAATCGGGTACGTGTTCAATACGCCGAAAATTGTCCATGAGACAGAAATTAATCACAAATACTGCACTGATTCTGACAATGATTATAGAACC